TTACCATGAATTGGAACAGGTACGAGTATTGTATGACTCACGATTGCCAACTATTAATATTCCGGAATTAATTAGAGGAGCATATTTTTATGATTAGTATGCTGGTTATTTTATTACTACAATCTTTTTGAAGCATAATGTAGTCTATGTAATGAATAATGTTTCCATCAACCTATTTTGTGATCTTAGGCATTAATTGTAGGATTCAAAGTGAATATTAAAATTGGTGATGTTTTATGAACTGATTGCGATACTGCATCTATATAACAAGAGCCACAGAAATTTTGCTATTTAAAGTTAAGCCTCTGAACTTTTTCCTCGTTTCCGAAATACTTCATTCGTTAAATATCTTATATTATGAAATATGTCGACGTCACATGGCCACAGGGTATGCTTGGCTTTCTGGGAAGCGTCTCATAAACATGCCAGTTGTTCTTATAGCATATAAATTTGTGACCAACAGATTAACACCGTCAGCACAGACCACAAGCCCTGTGTGTCCCATTCAATTCAATTCAATTCAATTCCAGTGCCACCTTATGGTCTTGGAACTTCCTACTGTCGTAATCGAATGAAAGTTGAACACCAATGGCGATATGGCATCTCTTTCTTTCAGAAATGCTTCAGACAAGTATTTATATATAGGCCAATGATCTCTAGTGATCACTCGTTTTAATTCACATAACTAATTCTGTCTGAAAACAGAAAATTAAGAAAAATATTGGGGACTGTAACCGACAATAAAATCTGAGATGAAGAGAAATTGCAGAATAAGGAATTTCGTGATCTTTACTTTAGTCTGATGGCTTATCCGACTTTTTTTAGAAAACATTCATCTGATGTTAACGGCATTACGACAAAGATAGGATAAAGTAAGCATTATACACCACACGTTAATCTCATGACTAGTACGAAGTTTCGTTAGAAACTAGTCTGTAAACTTATCGTCTGGTTAAGATTGTGTATTCGCTGTGCAGAGAAGAAATGAGAGTACATAATTTGACCGGCAAGCTTTAATATAAAGACATTATTCCTTTTATGCGATCCGCTCCCTCGCAAAACTCAGATATAGGCTAAATATATGGCTCTTTCATACATAAAGCCAACTCCGCGGCCGAATTGCTAGAACTCCTGTGTCACATTTAAATTCTAGTTGAAATCTCGGTTAGATAGCAGGTTATATCGGCCGAGAATTTTAATGATTTTCCTCAGTCTTTCCAGAAAAATTCATTATTCGTTAATAATCCTATAACTCGACATGTTTCAGTCTGACGTGGGCTATTGACAGTGTCGTTGAACAAAAATAAATAAATAAATAATTTAAAGAATTAAAACAAAACAACTAATCACAGAAAAAACTGTACTCAGTTTAAAAATTAATCATAAATTAATATACATTTCATTCACAAAATTCAACTGTTATTAGATGACGGTGTGTGAAATGCATTTGTGTCAACATAAATGGCACTTTCGTAGTGCGAGTGGGTATAAAAACCTATAAAATTGAGAAAAAATTTAAAACCCTCTTCTGGGTTGATGCGCCGTGTAGTCTTAAAATGTTTTACCGACATTCCAGAGGTGCCTGACGCCTCCATCTTCAGGGCAGCAAGCACCTATGAAACGTTGGTAAACTTCTAGCAGATTACACTGCGTATCATCCCATAAGAGTCATGTTCATAAGAACCTGAATCTCATTTTGAAAACCTACCTGCTATTTCTACGCCGTTATCTAGAACCTATTTTTAGATTGGAGTTTTCGGGCCCAGAAGCAGATGCGGCCCATTTCCTTCAAACATGTACCCCGCATTTTGGTCTAACACAGAGAAGGCTCTTGGGAGGAGAGGTGATAGAACTATAGCATAAATAAATATAAAATTAATACTTCATACTCATAGCGCAATTATTTATTTCACAATAACTGGATATTAGCCTAGAAATTTCACCTCATATATTTATTGCTAATTGTTTTCTTTAAAAAAACTTCAAACTGAAAAAAAAGATTTACGACAGTACCACCATTATCACTGTGAAATGATGAGTTCATAGGAAGTTAGTTGTAAAATCTTCAACACCTTTTTGGTTATAGTTTTAAAAGATATGCCACTTTTTATTTCATTTTTTTTGAAGAGGTGTACATTGCAACAATACGAAATTGTTTTATTTAATTTGAAATATGTCTTATCTTCGTGATTCATTTCCATCATTAATAGAATGTTTATTAGCGACTTTCTACTCAGATGAACACACGCTTAGACAGACATATTTAGCTTCGTCTCTCCAGAAAGAAAGAAAGAAATATGAAAGGGGCTGTTGAGAAGTTGCGTTATTAGGGATGAAGCCAATTATTTCTATAATGTCTATTATGGCTCGCTAAAATAACAACACAATCTGCACCATAAGTAGGAATTATCCGTTTACAGTGTCACTGTACAAAATCATTGGACACATTTTGTTAAACGTCCTTATTAAAATGGCTCTCATTCGAAACTAATCAAAAACAACGTATTTTGTAGTCTGTATAAATTCACACCATGACAAGTTACAAAAACCAATCAAATAATTCTATCAAAGAGTAATTTATAAAAAGATGGCTCTCTTTTACGGTCAAAATAGACCTATGTCAAAGCACAAATGTGTCTGAAGCGTGGAATCAATATGAAATAAGCGTGATATTTAGACGAAAAGTTACCTGTAACTTTGGCAACAGAACTTTTGAATTCAGAAAAAAAAGAACGAATCATAACTGCTGCAATAATACGAAAAGTTAGTATGAAGTTCATTTTCGTGTCAATGCTCAGGATACTTTTGAATTTGTATTGCAGGATCCCCTATAACGAGTTTTTTTATTTTAATTTACAACTAAGCACAGAAGTCAACTGTGGTTCTCTGGGTTGTGACGCTGTTATCACGTAAGTGGTAATCGTACCACTAAAATCTATGTTTAAATTTACTCGCACAAACTAAATAATTCAGTAAAACTGTACTGCATTCACACAAAGCTTCATAAAACTCCCGATATTCAGCTCAGTGACAATCAAAAGCAATTACGCAATGTGGCAATGTTACATCATTTATCAGGGAGACGGCTGGCGTCACTAAAGTCACAAAGATCAGAAAATGACTTAAAAACGAAAGGACAATGGTGGCTTCTCCAGTCATTCTACAAGCAGCAGTAATTAGTGCAAAGTGAATTTCAGTTGATTGCTCGCTAAAAGATCTGTGTGTTTATGTGTTGTCATTTACATTACTATTTGTACAAACAGATACAAGATGACGTACATACTGCTGCTGACGAAAACAGTTAGTTTTACAAAGAAATTGCCTTACTCTCTGTTCTACGTAACTTGCATGTGAGATGTCAAGTTTATAGGAACAGAGTGTGGTTATTTATCATATAAGATTTTCTTGGTGTTTGGCTATCAAAATACAAAATTGTTAGCCTTTTTTGTAGATTCTGATTCAGCTCAAAGGTACAGTTCTGACCATAGACTTTGCCGCGTTCATGAAACAATAACAGATTTTCAAGTATAGTTTTTCGTAATGAAACTTAAGAATCACAAGAAATTTAATGAATTACTGTATTTGATTATTTATCACTAAGACACATTGCTGATTTTATAATCACTTAAATACAGAGAAATGGATGGAATAAAACTGTTATGTACATAATGTGGTTACTTTTTTTAAAACATTTTCCTTTAAATTTATCACGTCTTTGCTGCTAGACAAAAGAACACTACATCTGCTGCCTTACCTTTATAAAGAGAAGGAACTGCAAGTTGAAAGCATAGTTGTAGAGATGTGGAAGATTTATCCACGACACTTAATGATTGTCAAAGTTACAACTGAAGATTTCTGTCTTCTGGGTTGTTTCGCCGTGTCGTCTGGTCGATGTTTACCAACGTTTCAGAGGTCATACTGCCTCCGTCATCAGGGCGATGAGGCAGCAAGGACCTCTGAAACGCCGGTGGACATCTACGAGACGACACCGCGCAACAACCCAGAAGACAGAAATCTTCAGACTCACCGCAGTGAAAACCTCAAATCTTACAGAGCTACATCTGTGCCTGTAAGAAAAATGGAATCGAAAGGCAGAAGGAAACTGTAATTTAGAATCGGTAATAGCTTGTTACATGTTCCACTTCGTCAACACACTCGTAGATATCTGCTCCTCACTTGTGGCAAGCCAGGCAAACGGACAGGCACGCGTAAGATAAGCAAGGCTATGGAAGCCACAAGAACATGGCGAGTGCAAACCGAGCAGGTGCTATTTTTTCTCTCTTCCTACCTAATTATTACTGCTGTTCATTAATACACGATCAGTCAGATATAAATTCTTGTTCCTTAAATAATAAAAAAAATGTATTTTGTACACTTTTACTCACAGTATAAAAACTAGAATTCTGTTCGTCTAAATTAGTTCAGCCAGATCAAGTCATGCATCTTACATTTAACACTGTATTTGTATCTATATATTCTTGGTTTATTTTAAAATGCTTTCGGTCGCTTAAATTATAAACATAAGCAGCAAATAATATGACAATTAAATAAAAACGAACTTTAAAGGATGTCGAATAAAACTGTAGTGACGTAATTTAAGATTATACCTTAGTATTTGTCTGGAGGGACTGAGGAAACCACAGAAATCTCAGTCAGCCTGTCTGGAGGCCAAGATTTGACCTGGGACCTTCCGAATATGACGCAAAAATTATAGATATTCCACTGTAAAGTACATGAGCCGGGATAGCTCAGTCAGTATAGTGACTAGCTACGGGCTGGACGACCGGGGTTCGATCCCCGACGGGGGCAGAGGATTTTTCCTCTAGCCTCTGCGTCCAGACCGGCTCTGGGGCCCACAGCCTCCTATACAATGGGTACCGGGGTCCTTTCCCGGGGGTAAAGCCGGCCGGGGCGTGATGCTGACCACTCACCCCCATCTAGTGCCGGGGTCAAGGAAGAGAGGAGCTATACCTTCACTCACCCCAAACGCCTACATGGCGTATAGTGGGACAAACGTTTTTTTACTTTACTGTAAAGTACAATGAAATATCAATAATTGCTTAAACAAAAAGTGAAATTTTGTTTGCATTGAGGAATCGAGCATTAAAGTTATCGACTATCGTATCATTCAACGCGATGTATAATCTGAGTTACAGGCAGCCGCGTTAAATAAACCAGAAATAAGTAAATAAATAAAAGAAGGGTAACTGCACTGAATTGGCGGTAGAGGTGGGTTAATTAGGCAGGAAACGTTACATTTGTCGCCAAATCTCGTCTTAATCTGTCAGAAGAACTGTACCTCACAGCATGAAGTTCGTCACTTCTAGTCGCAGAAGTATGTTTTTCTTTTACATTTTAATCTCGTATTAATTATCTATACACATAACATACAGGGGCTAGTATGTCAGTAGAGATTGGACATGAGTAACTGACGAAACAAAACACAGTCTGTGTTATATAAACAAACATACTCTTTGGTATAAATAAAATCCGAACAGCGCGTACTTTTACACATAGTTCAATCTATAGTACATAATTTATAATATCTTATTTGTTATTTTTTTAAATTTTGTTTTGTCTTACTTATTTACAGAAATTACTTACTCGTTCATATATTCAGTGTTTACTTCACACTCGACAATCGATTGTTTCGTGTGTTGCACTTCCCAAAAATGGCGGTGGTGACGACTATCTATAAGCCAGCAACATAGTTATTTTTTTCATTTCATTTTCTGAAAAGAAACAAGAGAAATACAGAGGAGGGAGGATTATGGCGTGACGTCAACATTCTCATCGTCCAAGGAGTACGACTCCCCCCTCCAACTCCCCTCATTTTATGTCGTCACTGCACTTATTCGGTGACGTCACATGGTCACTGTTGGCGTTCGGTTTGACTTCCAGTCCATTCACCATCTTCTCGATACTCTTTAGTTCACTGGCTGTTGTGGAACTGCTACCAGTTGGGGGAGTAGAATTTGCTATAGCGGGTGTCACATCTCCCGAGGAGGGTGGAGATCCTGATAATGGTGGTGGGGGCGGAGATGTGACGGATGGCTTGTTCCCAGAAGGTGTGGGGCTGTTACTTAGACTTCTGCTACCTGCACTGGGCAGCGTCGCGTTGCTGTGGCTATTGTGCAGAGAGCCTGGCGTAACCGTCTCAAATGCAGACCCTAGAGGCGAGCCTCCTAGCGAGTTTGACGTAGGGACAACAGGTAGGGTGTAAGGCGTAAAACGGTGGACTCCTGCCTTCAGCTGGTGATGCAAGGCGCCTGTGGGTGACCCCGAAGCGGTGATGTGGTGGGGATGGTGAGGATGTGTCAGCCCTGCAGCTGTGTACGCAGCTGCGTGGCTGAAGAGTGCAGGATGCTGAGCCGCTAACGCAAGCTGCGCGTTGAACAGCAAACTAGGATTCATTCCATGGCCCCCATGTCCAGCCGCAGCACCTGTGAATAACGACAGAGGAGGTCCTGGTGCTAGAAGAGGATGACCTCCTGAGGCGCCAGGGTACAACCCATGCGGGTATAGATATGGAAGTAAGTGTGGTGGGGGGTGTATGGGAGGTCCCACCGAGATGTTCGGCGAGGGGTACTCGGTGGTTGTGGAGTGTTGCTGGCCGGAAGGACCAGCAGTGGAGCTCAGTGTATCCTTAGGCCTCGGCGACGTGCTGGCAGAAGGTCTGAAGGCTGTTGTGGAGGTGCTGCCGGCACCTACCGACTCCGAACAGCTACTGTTATCGCTGTTGGCGTCTCTCTCGCTGTCATCCTGGGTCTGCGGTCCTTGCAGTCGGCGACGCATAGCTTCCTCTGCAGCCAGTGAATCTGAGCTTGCAGCTGCGGCCGCTGCGGACAAAGAAAACCACGCTAAGGGACGCAGGCGTCCGGTCAGGACACCCGCTCTGGCTTGCTAGAGTCACAAGGGTATGAGCCGTAGAGCTACTGCGGGTTTGATACGAACCATTTTCCTGAAACTACATATCCTGGACTGAAATGTTATATTCGTTGCATTTAGTGCCCAGAAACCTGTTTTAAACAAAATAATAGTACTTTGGCGGAATGCTTTCCATATTTCTTGCATGCACATCATTACAACTCAGATTACCAAGTTAGAGGACAGTATACCGACCCAGTCTTCAGCAATTTCGTTCGAACTCGGTGAAATGTTGAACTAACAATAAAAGGGAACCTAAGAATCTTGAGCGAAATACTTTCAGAGATGATATTAAAGACTGACACCGACCGACAGGAAAAACAGACTAATGTGGGCGCACATTATAAAGCGGACAGCACTTCACCTGAGTGGGGGTGGTGGTGATGTGCCGAGAGGGGGTGTGGCAGATGAGGGTGCAGAGGCAGGTCGGATGTGCCAACCACGTCCAGTAGTTTCTCCTCGTCAGGGTCTCCGGCACGGTGATGGTGGTGTTGTGTGTCGGGAGGCACGGACGCTGGCCCCCTGGCGTGCTTGCTGCCACCGTGGTGCTCTGCCAATCTCTGCTCGTCCTGGTGCCTCTGAGCGGCCAACAGCGCCTGTCTTCTGTAACAAATGCAACCCGTCTTACTCTCCGGATATTGCAGTTTGTCTTGTTTCATCCCGCTGGTAAATTGTGTTAGCTTGTGGCGTCAACTGAAGAGATAATTTAGCGTTGAGAGGAATGTGTCATAGAAGAAGCTAAGCATAGACGGGTTCGAAACCCGGTAGGGCAGGGGAAGAATTTTATTAGTAGCCACTTGGTCCCCAACAGACGATCGGGCACAGTTATCCTCCTACCCAACGGGTGTCGGGGGCAGTTTTTCCATCTCTTCAGACTTATAAAGTCTCGCTTTTCTGCACCTTTACGCTTTACTATGTATGTGATAAATTATATTCTTCTTGGTATACAATGGTGTATTTCTTTTACAAAATTAAAAGTTATTCATAAAAGTGTAAAATAAGTAGGCCTAGTAAGCCTAAGTAACTTTTCAGGAGAGAGGTGACGTACAACATACAATTCTCAATCTTGTGCGACTTCACATAAAACAAAATAATATGGAAGTGCAGAGTTTAGTGCTTGTGGTAAGTGACTGCGTATTTTTATTTATTTACGGCTTATTTATTAATTGTCATTGTAATTATATAGCTTAGAATAATAAACTGATTAGTGAATAATGATCTGCAAAGAATATGGAAAGAAGTAGCCGTGGCATCTGAAGGACTGAGGAAACACACGAAAACCTCTGTAACAATATCCGGTCTCCGGGCCGAGTTCTGAACCCAGAAACTTCCGAATATAAAGCAGGAGTACCACCTTCTCGGCAGCGACGTTCGGCACGGATCTGCAAGATTTTACATGACAATTGCGAATCTAATTCGCTTTACCGGCTATCCTGGTTGATTTTCTTCAGTTACTCCAGCATACAATCTTAAACAGGTCAAGATCGTTTTCATTAAAATCGGTCACGATTCATGATTCATAATCATAATTTGTCAGAAGTTTCAAGAATGGAGGGCTTGGACAAGGGCCGAGTGAAATAGCAGCCTTCATCATTATTTACTCCTATACCTGCAGTTAGATAATAAAATAACTTAAAGGAAAGCCATTTTGTTCTTCCTCGACGAGACAAGTACCTACTGTAGTTAATGAATTCAAGGAAAACACAGGAGACGTCGCAGGCAATTCGAAAACAAAACTTACTTCTTTGTTGGAAACAACTAGAAGACCCAAGCTAGTAATTTTCACGCCTATAATTACTGGAGGTGATAGAGCACCCCAACGCCTCTAATAATCATTAAAATTCCTTTTCTCTTTTACCCTTCTCATAGACTCTTATCCAGACCGTGCATAGCTAATGAAGGACACAAGAGCTGTACTTGCACCCAGAAGTCAAGGGGCTGCAGACGCTGAAGTGGGGAGGCTTACGAAACTACGTCAGTTTTCTGTCGATCGACATCACAGACGCAAAATCGTGCTGACAATGTGCATGTATATAACCGAAGATCTGCTTCTCCTTCCTCGTTCGTTGCACGAAAATTAAGTAGCTTCTTATAGACACATATCTGTAATTCTACATTAATTTCCACTGCAGATATACCAACGTGTCGTAATCTGAAAATTCATTACCGCATTCACAATAATATCCACTGATACCTAACACAAGCCATCTTAATCCAATATGCCTCACACGTAACTTTTTAAATACCCATTTAAATACTAAACCACTAACACTTCTACGTCTTCCAGCGGTGTTCAGTGTCTACAAATCAAATAATTACAAATTAGAAATGGGAAGGTGTTATGCGCTGTTACTGTAAGATGTGCAATGAATAATTACAAAAATCTCTGCCTAATACCTCCTGTTCTTAATGAATTTATGCCACTGATTTATATCGTTATTTATTCATAGGCCACTGTTGCATAACTCTGACTTCAGTTTTATCGATAGTACAAGAAATTATAGATCGAGGTCTACTAGAAATTTCTTTCTAAGATTTATAATACAGTTTTAAATTCAGTCGGCGTGAATTTGTTTATAATCATTCTGTTGTTATAAATACTATTCGTACGGAGAAACAGGTAATGTTTTCGTGAAAGATGGTTGAAACCTTCAGACCCCTAAATCTAAATATCTCAACAGCAAACAGTGACAACACAAATGCCTTCTGAACGTATGAAAACGTACATGTGAATTATATCACATTTCATATAAGCATGCAACGCTAGTTTAGGCTAACTGCAAATTTAATTTCAAACTGAAAACAAGAAATATGGCAATTGAGTGACTAATCTGTGTATAAAGTAGCCCTCAGCTCTGAAGTTGGAGGCAGTATATTCAACCGAAACGTTGGTGTTTTTCTACATGTCCACGCGACGTTAAAACGAAGGAGACCAACGTTGGCATCTTCACAGCTGTGAGTATATCAAATCTCGTAACAGTAAATTTATTTATCAGTTTTATGTGAATCCTTTGTGTGCGTGAGGGGGAGGGGGGTTACAGAAGGCTAATTATGGTGACGTGAATATTTCTGATGTTTGAAGAGTTGTAGTTTGACAAGTAAAATTTGGTCAGAAACTTTTATTTATATGTTTGTACAGATGTGTCCGAATGTACCTGAAAACGAAATGGCGATGTCTGAGGTTATGTTCTCTACATAAATGGAAAAGAACTTTTACCTAGTCGGATTCCGTCCGGTTTACATGTTTTCTCTGAAGTAATTATTCACTATTCAGAAAACTCGCTGAAGAAATGTCATGTCATGGAGTAGCTTGCTTTAAATCCAGATTACGAAGGGGCCGAACTGTTCTGTCAGTGGGGGATGGTGATTTGGTAAAGTAGGACGGTAATTTGGAAAGATGCAAGTACTTTCACAAGAAAGAAGTGCGTTTGGAACGCAGCCAGGTAAAGATTTTGATGAGGGTGGAATTGAGATGACGGGAAAAACGGGAAGGTTCCATAGTGGGGGTGGCTAATTTAAGCTTTCTTTCCTCTTTTTCCGTTTCGAGTGGAGAAGAGTTTGACTCAGCATCACGTCATCTCTCACTTCTATGGTATCGACCGTGTACGGTGGAGACTGTTGTGCCATCTATGGACTGTCACACCTCGTGGTGTTTCTAAGAGTTGGAATTTTGGAAGACACAAAAATACATCACTCTTTATTCACTGATATTCGAGATAAGAACGGAAATTTGGTGCATCAGTGAGTTTGTTTTATGATGTTGTATCACCTACTAAGATTTTCTGAAGCATAGAGTTCCTTTTACTCAGGCCTATATTAAGCGTAATTCCAAGCACGGAGTAGCCAATAACACATCTCAAGGCTATGAAAAACAAGTCGAAGAAATTTAGAGATTTTATTGAATTTAAGGCTCTCTCCTTTTTTTTTTATACAAAATCACATCTTCAGGAAATTAATCAACGTATTTATCTAAAATCCCCTAGGTTTAACATATGGATTCTATAGTTACGTCGTCCAACAAAAATTATCTCCATCTGTGTTACAGGCATGACTCTCCACTCACTTTCCTCGGCTAACCAATGGGTAGCGAGAACAATGTTTCCTTGGGTAAAGCTGTCGGATCGTGAAGCTTGGAGCTCAGTGCCATCTACAGCCGCGGAGCAGAATGCACATTGCGTCGAGATTCGCCTCTGCGTTCTAATGGAGCTGAACGTGATGATTTTGCTTTTGTGGATTCTGACACCTTGTGGACTCGTAGGTACACACAACGTTGCGGAGAAATATAATATCTCCACCTTCAGGGTTGAAGATGGAGACAGTATGTTCCTGCAAAATGTTGTTATCTATCCACGAGTCTACTTGGTGTCTCAACTGAAAAGAACATCGCCAACATTGTTTTGTTCAGTCTTGCCAACAAGTAAGAATTTAAATTCGTTTCGAAGACTTGCGCCTCATTATGCATGGGGTAACTGTCCATCTAGATAGCAATGGCGAGAAGACAAAGAGAAATGGGGTGACAAAAAAGGTCGCTGCGCATCGCGGGGACTGTTAATTTTAAGGGATGACGCTGGGAGGAAGAATGAAGGATGAATGAGGAGAATAAAAAAAAGCCTAGTTCCAGGGAATGAGAAGCAGAGGGTAACGCAAACTAAGCCAGAAGGGAGGGTGGTGTTACTTTAAACGTGTAGTTGAAAGGTTAAATTATTACATTTGGGTTTCACTTAGGTCACAAAGCCTTTAACTTTACATGGATGTGCAAATTTTATTAAATTTAAGCTACCACCACTATTGTAGGGGATGCAGAGGGCTGAGACATTTGCATGGAAACGAAGTCGGAGCATAGCAGATCAGGATGCATGCTACAGTGAGATAAGGAACACTTTGATGAATATCACGTTTCAGATAGGTGATATTTCCATTGTACTTGCCTGTAAATTGTTCGAATGAATATAAGTTTCTTTTTATTACACAACTTTAATCCGCTCTACAATAATAATAGAAGTATTCCATCAGTACAAATCCATAGAATAAGTACACAGTACACCGTCCACGAAGAAGTTAAGAATGAGTTTCAATATTCGGTTATAAAACTGATTCATATTTTTCCGGAATATTTAAAATTATACAAAAACTTATTTCGCCGGATTTATGTGTGATTATGAGACACAGACTCTTTTTCCAGTGAATTTATTTCTGATTTAAATTAAAGTGTCATACTGCCAAACTACTCGTAAGTTCCTGTAATCCTGTTTTGTTACACCCGTGGAGTGGATTAGGATGATGGGGACAGAGTTGGTTCCCGAAACGTCGGTTTACTACGGTAACCAGTTGACACGGCGGATTACCCGAGAAGATTTTATTGGTTAACTAGATGTACTTAATAGAATCGACTTTTATATCAGTGAAATTTCACTTAGAAAACGCGGTCTTGTGGGTAAAATTAGTTTGCATGACTGTACTAAGACAGCCGGTATTTGTTCGTCGTGAGGGACAAACACTCAGCTAATGTTAAGTTGGGCACCACAGACAATGGAGATTGAATTTCAAAGACTCCGACTGAACTAGTGATGTACTGTGGGTTGCAGATACATCAGGGTCGGACAAAAGAGAAGGAAAATTTCCTCCCAGATATCGTAATTGCACTGTGCTCGTGGTCAGGCTTTACTGCACCGTTACAACTTTTCTCTGGCTATCCATCCACTGCTGGCAGACATAAAAGATACACACGACATACGCAGATTTTCTGACACATTTGGCAAAAGCGCTGTCTCCTCTGAGGGCACTTTATACGTAGACGTTTCTAAACTGATTATTTTTCCTTTAATTTTGTTTTGTTGTTTCATTTTAGTGCTGCATATCTGTGTTAGTGTTTGCCGGTTACGGGCTCTTTGCTATTACCAACTGTGTCTTCCTAGACCACTTCGAAGATCTAGGGTTAGATGACAGGATAATATTAACACTCATTTTAGATATATTATTATTATTTTTACAAACAATCCTACAGAACTGATAATATAAACAATAGATTAGAAGGGGCTTTAGTGGCGTTAAAAAGCTGTGATAATATTTGTCACTTAACCTATATTTACACACGCAAGTACATATGTTTCGTGTTTGTTAATCTTTACAGTATGTCTAATTGGCTACAGTTTGCTGTTTCAGCCTCGCGTCCCACTTTAAAACGGCGTCGAATCTGGAGTAATAATTACGACGACAAAGTTTTTTCAGCCAAGTGATAGGTTAGAGGTTACGTCGCAAGTGGGTCTGGGGTTATGATAATAAGGCAATCGATCAGACCAGAATGAAGCAACGATAGAATAAAAAATGTCCCGAGCACATCTCACCAAGTGCTAGTCGATTCTCTCTGGCAATCTTTACGCGCGTCAAGACATACAAAGCTTTGTCGGGTATATTTTAGGCTGTGGTTTGATCTGAGCAGCGCCAGCCGACAATGGACGTGGATTAATCGTTAATTCGTCATGAATTTTCGCGTTTCTAATTCATCTACGTATTGTCCGATTTACAGGTTTCACTGATCCCTATGGCGTATAACTATGCTGTTTAGCTGTGTACGGTACACAGATTAAAATTAGTTTTAAAAAAAGATAATGAATGAATAGGAAAGAATTTTCTGGAAGAAATTAAGGCAAATCTCAGATGGATGATCATTAACCGAGAGATATTCGGGCAGGATAAATTCCTGACGCAAGTCTAAATCACTGTTAAACTATCCTGTGAAGGCTTCTAATTGAAAAGGTGATAGAACAAGAAATCTCACTCCAAAAATAGTAACCCATACATATTTTCACGTTAACTTATACAAACGCAGTAACAATAACAAGGCAACAATCTCAACTGAAGTTTAAAAACTGCATCGGTAGGCGTACAACAACAACAACTACTACTACTACTACTACTGCTACTACTACTAATACCACCACTGCCACTAGAGATCACTTCTGCTCTAAGTCCATAGTGTTAGTTTCTTATTTTACATGGAGATACAGAAGACGAAAACGCTTAACCGGCGATACGTGGAACCGGTCTGACCGTAGCGTAAGAACTACAGTCGGTAAGGTAAAATGTGGCTGTGACCTTTAACTGTAGGTACACAAGAGAAACGTGGTGTTCGTTATAATAATCAGTTCAACGGCACTGACAGCTTCATACTCTTGACGATTTTAATTGCAAATTAACAACGGCCCCAGCCAACGTACAGTACTTTGATGTCGGGGATCACTTGTTTCGAACCTGGATGATACAAATTGGCCCTACCCCAACACGTGTACGTCGAACGAGTCAATCGTTCAATCTGGTTTCCATAGAAATCAAGTCTTTTCTTCCGGTGGGAAGGCTTTAGGTTGTGGAGGCAGAACTCTACGAATTATTCTTACCGAGAAATTTAATGCTGAGATAAAACTCTGGACACGTATTTTGGACATAATCATTTCGAATCTCGAATGCATTATGGCTATAATTCCAAAAGTTCGACGTCATTTTTCTGTCTCTCCAAGCGATGTCATCTTGAAATAGGGCAGGATCGACTCCTTCCAAATCCTCACCAGTCATCATTCATGATAGAATCCTTATCACTTTCTACACTATATACAGCGGCGAGAAAAAAGTGTCAGATGAGGTTTGAAATTTTCAGGGCTACCAGAATTCAGACTGTGTTCTGGGTCGTGACACTATGTAGTCTTCGTTTTCAGAACAGAGGCTAGAGACAGTATTTCCTCCCGATGAGTCGACAACAAATACAACACAAAGCATGGTCACAATACAAAATATCAAGATCGGAGCCTTCAATCTGTGTTCTTCCTCTTTTGTGACAAAGTTTCACACCCGTACAAACAACAAGTAACAACGTTTTGTTAGAAAATAAATATTTTGTGATAACAGAACCAATTATTTACGTATAACTTACACAGAAACAAGATTTTATCTCGAGTTTACTAAATAAATGCAGTAATGAATTGCAGACACGATATCTGCTGAGAGTTGTAGGCCTACTAAACTTGTCGAGGTCAAATTAAATTTTAAGTTAAAGCTAGGGTACTGTATCCCGATAAGACCCTCATAAAGCAGCTTAACTGTACCATCAGTTACCGGTATGTGAAGAATGCTTTTAGACACACAGACGATTCCATGGAAAGGCAGACAGGGTCGGGTATTGTTCTAAACCAATTTGCGGGCTTTTAAACTCTAACGGCCATGTTCAGCATAACTACACGTGTAATCCTCTTTGCACACGTTAACGTGGACGAATGGACGAATACAGCGCGTTCGTATGCAGCCCCCTCGCGTGTGGTAAAGAGACGAACACAAGTCAGCACTGAGCAAATGCACTGGATAAAGATGAATGGTCGAATTCGAGCTATAGATAATATATCACCGGGGTTCGGTGAGAAGGGGCCGTTGAATTTGAACACAAGACCCGGAGCGTCAGTTATTTGTTTTGAATTTGGTGATAAAGACAGAAATTTAATATGTTTAAACGAACCAAACAGCTACCTTTTGTGTGTACTTCGTCATTTCACTGAACGAACAACAGTATCTCCTGAAATACGAACAGCGTGAAGTTACAGGTCTAACGGCGATAACAAATTTCGGGTTTCAATTAGTTTACAGTTGTGAAAAATTTATCATTCGCTTTCAGAAACTTTTTGGACGTGGGAGTGAAAAGAAGTGTTAAAGCTCCGATCATCCGGTCTGTAAACATAAGTACAACTGCTTAGCCCCGAAAGGAATAACAGCAGATTACTAACAAAACGAAAATCTTCCAAACTAGAAGTGACGCTGTACATGAACCTGCGGGAATACTCACTTTTTCTCTCGTTTTCCAGCGCCTGTGTCCCTGAACCCCTTTGCGAAGGGATTGTTGTCGATTTTCAGCTGCGTAATCTGCAAGAAAGAGATAAACAGTGCAGACACACGGCTCAGTAAAACAATTAATTTAACGTTACATAAAAATGCTTATTATCCTTTCTCCACATTCGTAATCTTAAGAAAATATTTATATTTAAAGAATACTGGGAAAGTGTTATTTATATACTTTTGTTATTTCGTAAGTGCTGTATTCTCTCTTACTATAAAATACTTTCATATCGATTAATGTATTTTAATTAAAATTTTATTAAACAGAATGGAGAATTCAGTACCGTTTAAATATTTTCACGTTAAAAAATTAAACTTGCATAGGAACATCGTACTCTGCTTTTATGTAATGTTCTCAGTGTCTTCAAAAGAATGTTGGAGGGTAGTACCTCAAATAAATTCATTGCGATCTCCTTCCACGCCCATACACAGGCAACATCTAAGACACTAACCCCAGCTCATCTTGTGCTATATTATCACAGCAGCCGAAAAACGCTCGTATTAATGTATAATACGAACTAATTAAAAAACCAATCAATACGAGCGGCGATGCCAGTTGCTATATTGCGTGTTATAAGCGTGTAGAACTTCATCTTGAATGATGAAACAAAGAGTCATAGGGGTTGGCAAGACAGACAAAACTTCGTACAGACTTACAGGACAAGCAAATCTTCAGAGAGAATGGCAGGACAGATAAATGTTTGCAAAGGCTGACAAGACAAATCTTCATACGGACTAGCAGGGCAGACAAAACTTCCTCAGAAACTAGCATAACAGTAAAAGTTTTCTACAGTTTCACACAAACGGGACAGACGAAACTTGATACAGGCTGGGAGGGCAGGAAAGATTAGTACAAAATGGCAAGACAGGCAAATCTTCATGCAGAATGATAGGACAAACAATGTCTAACCCGACTGGCAAAATAGACAAAGTTTGTGAACTCACCTTCTCGTTCTGGTAGGCTGTGACCGCTATGAATTCTGTCTCCTTGAAAACGTATGTACGAAAAGTGCTGTAAGGGAGCTTCAGAATATCGTTAGCTCTCACCAGATGGAACCTTGGTTGATATTTGTGCATCGAGTTCAGGATAGTCTGTAACACGTCGAAAGAACATGCTGTAGTTGAACATCGTATTGAAATTCGTCATTCTGTTGTTGCTGAAAATTTGAAAAGTAGACGAAACACAGAATAACAAAGACTACCCTCAGATTGACAATGAAGTAATTACAACTGGTTCGAATCAGGGTGAAGACGGTTTCTGTAGGTCAGGAACTAAGCACGATAGACGAACGGTGCTAAGCATTAGTGAGCTTGTAAGCGTTTGTCAAATTTCTCCTCAGTAACAGTGCATTCATTTACAAGGCAAAAACTCCACAGACACCGACGTCCAACTGAAGAACTGGATCATTCGTGACACGTGCACCTGCCTTTAGTCTGACTATACAAAGACGGTACGTGTTATTACAGAACTGAGGAGCTAAATAGAATACGCAGTCAAATAACTTTTAATAATGAAATACAACAAAATTGTGATAAATTTATATGCAGTGTCTG